GGGGGGAGGGATAGCATTAAGAGATATACCTAATGTAAATGACGAGTTAATGGGTGCAGCACACCAACATGGCACATGTATACATATGTAACAAGCCTGCACATTGTGCACATGTACCCTAGAACTTAAAGTATAATAAAAAAAAGATAAATGACATATGATTATATAAAAATGTACATTGTCTATGAAAAACTATAAATATAGTAAATACGTAGTATATTAAAAACTATAAAGTAAAAATCTAATAACAAATGAGGAACATTATCAGCAATGTAGGATAGACTGAGGGTTACTACTCTCCATATAAAAGAGAATGTATAAATCAATAAAAGGAAATTACTCAATAGTAAAACAGCACATATGACTGAGAGATTCAAGTAAACAAGAAGGGACCCAAAGACTGAGCTCTAGGGCACTAGAGTATTTAGATATTAGGAAGAGGGGGATTCTGCAAAGGAGACCAAGCAGCGGCTACCAGGATGGGGGGCAACTAGAAGCTTCTGATGTCCAAGAAGCCAAGGATCAAAGAGTTTTGAGAAAGAGAGAGTGATGAAAAGCTCCAAACCCTGTTTACAAGGTCAAGGAAGATGAGAACTAAACATTTACTAGATTTTGCCACATGAAATCACTGGTAATAGCCATATATCATCCAATTTCTCTTCCTATTGTCAATAAATGTTTGCTGAGTGCCCATTACATGTCAGGCACAGTACTTCTTGAATTTAGCTTCCATCCTTTTATGTTGTAACTGCCAATATGTTATGACTGCTAATACTGTTCGTTCCTTCAGGTTACTTCCAGGACATGACTTCCAGATTCTTGGGTGTGGGGCATGAGAAAAGAGTCAAAGTGGTCAGATTCAAATCTACTAGGTGTCAGAAAATGGCACAACAGCAAATTAGTAATAAATATTAGCAGAGGGTTAGGAAATATCTCACTAATAATTACAATTAACAATTTTAAGAATTATTTATACCTACAACAGTATGGTTAGGCTAGGTTCTGCTGCCATAACAAACAACCCCTCAATCTCAGTGATCTGACACAGTACAGTAGTTCTCCTCTATTTTTGTCAGAGACATTCCAAGACCCCCACTGGATGCCTGGAACTGCGGATAGTACCAAACCCTACATATACTATGTTTTGTCCTATACATACATAACTATGATAAAGTTTAATTTAGAAATTAGGCACAATAAAATATGTAAAACAATAATTAAATATAACAAGTATAACAATATACTGTAATAAAAGTTATGTGAATATGGTCTCTCTCTCTCTCAAAATATCTTATTGTACTATACTCAACCTTCTTGTGATGATGTGAGATGACAAAATGCCTACACGATGAGATGGAATGAGGTAAATGACATAGGCTTTGTGATGTAATGTTAGGCTACTATTAACTTGAACACAAGCACTGCAATATGGTCTCAGTAGATCTGACAACCAAGATGCCTACGGGCAGGTCGCATACAAAGCATGCATACGCTGGACAAAGAAATGACTCGTGACCGTGAGAGGTTGTGTCACACTATTCAGAACTGCCTACAATTTAAATTTTATAAATTGTTTATTTCTGGAATTTTCCATTTAATATTTTCAGACTGAGGCTGACCGTAGGTAATTGAAACCTCAGAAAGTGAAACCACAGATAAGAGGAGGCTGATATACTGGTTTCTTTCTTGC